GCTTTAACTCGTTTCCATCGCAATTGAAGCTTTGGCCTTCTTCCAGTTTGGCTTCACCAAAGTTGATTGCTGAGACACAAGGATTCACTCATTCCAACAAACCTGATTGCCAAGATAAATCTTTGTCTACATAATGCACGCTAGGGACAAGTACACTCGAAGTTGGATAGTCGATCTGTTTAGCCTTTTGCCAGGTCTTCAGGCGGACGCATTCAGTTTTGGCGCGTGCCTGGCTGCATGCGGCCGGGCAGCCCAGTGGCAGCGCGCTCTGCGGCTCTACGAGGACGTGTACTAGCGTTCCAAAATGGAGTGTCTCCAAAAAGGGACCCCAAGAAGGGTTGCTGTCTTTTGAGAGCTGAGACGAGTGGAAAAGGCTCAATAAGCCAAACCAGAAGGCCGCGAAGCTTCTGGGCGGCAAGCAGTTTTCAAGAAGGAAAGGGAACATTTGGAAAGCGCGGGAAGGAATCGGAGCTTGCACTGCAGCCGCTCGAATGGACTTGCGCCCATCGGGGAAATACCTAATAATTAGAACTGCAAGAAGACGGTAGAGGATAAAACGTGAATATTGTAATGAAACGACCCCGAACCTTTGAGGAGTTGCACTTGAAAAGATCGTGTTTGTTCCCGGACCGCTGTTTCATGAGGGTGAGAAACCCCTGATGACAGATTAGAATGCCGAGGAGCGTGTGTGTGGTACCCTCCACAGTGGTTGCGACTTTGGGCTCCTGTTTTGTGGTTGGTTGCGGCCTGAGCTTGACTGGCTTGGCTGCGCTTGCAAAACGACTCCTCGTTTGGTTCCCCTTGGCGCTCGCGGCGCAGTCAGTGGACACTTGCGTAGGACATGTCCTGGGCATCGGTGCCAGCAGATCCTTTGAGCCAGGGCGCCTTGCTGCATGCCGCCTGGCAAGGGGGAGCGTGAGGAAAGGTAGATTGCGCCAACATCAAAACCTGGGAGCTGGTCCAAGGAAGTTTAGAATAAACTTCCGTAGTACTGGCTGTAAGTGAAGGCTAGCTGTAGTGGCAAAGCAGATGAGAGCGGAAGGAGTAGACGAGAGCGGAAGGAGAAGAGAAGAGAAGAGAAGAGAAAAGAAGAGAAGAACAGAGAGGAAACGAGAAGAGGTGACAAGTGTTCAGATTGCGTGACAGGTGCAGCACTTCGGGATAGAAAGTGCTCAAAGTGAGTGCCCAGTGCCAAGTGCGTGCTTCGCATGTTTCGGGGAAGCGCAAACCGCCTCTGGCGCGACACCTTGGGAGGGGGGGGTCGCTTGGGTTACTTCTGCGGTCTCTCGGGTCACGTGGGTCATTTGGGTCACTTGTGTCACTTGGGTCACTTGGGTCACACGGGTCATTTGGGTTGCTCGGGTCTTCGGGCAGTTTTCTGGCATCTTCCCGGGCCGCCAAATGGAAAGCAAGGCTAACGAGATGAACTTCTAGGCTCGGGGTGCGTTTGTTCCCCAAAGGCCGCAAAACGCGTTTATGCTGTCCGGTGGTCTTCCAGTGGTCTTCCAGTAGTCTTCCCAAGAGACCGAAAAGATCCAAGTGATCTAAGTGACCAACAAGTGCTCGGACGTGGTTCATGTACCACAGGCAAGTGGCCCAAGTGACCTGGCTGATCTAGCCACCCATTCAAGGGACCCAAGTGGCAGCCGTCAGTTAGCGTACCCGAAATCGTTGCCCTCTGAGGTAAAACAAAAGAGAAAGAAGAAACAGAGAAAGAAAACGAAGGGAAGGATACATTTTATCCATGGGATTTTTTTTCACAGGCTTCAACTTCATGACGCATGAGAGCTGATGAGCTTGTTTGGGCCTCAACAGGGGCTAGAGTGAAAGCTGCGCTCCTGCCCGTGTTTGAACTGGGGAGGACAAGTGGCAAGAAAGCAGGAAACCATGTACGACAGAAGTGAGAAGGCGGGCAAGAGGATGAATGGATGGATGGATGGATGGATGGATGGATGGATGGATGGATGGATGGATGGATGGATGGGTGAAGAAGGGGCCGTCGCGGTTCCGGCTTGCAAGGGAAGAACACAGGTTCCCGGGCTGCGGTTCTATCATTCACACGAGCGAAGCAGGTCAAAAGCCTTACCGCAAGACTGGATGCGAGCTAAACGCATACTGGCTGCGAACGCAATGTCTGTGAATTGTGTCATCAATGTTGCCTCATGCACGTGCAAAACACCAGTTTGACCCGTGCAAACTATGCATGTTTCTGGCGACCGATCTTGCGATTGGTTTCGTTGGCTATTTGCAGACATGTGGACACCCCGCCGTCAATGAGCTTGATTGACGCTGTCGCCGCAGCGGCTGGGTTGTGTGTCTCTGCGTGCGCGTGTGTCCCTCTCTCTCTCTCTATATCCTGAAAGAAAATCTTAGGAAACCAACCGTTTTGTGGTAGTGTCTAGTTTTCACACATTCGCACCTGAGGCCCTGTCGAGCAGCCTCCGCTGGCGCGAGGCGTTACGCCTTTGTCGACGCCCGCTGGAGGCCAGGTGCGTGAAGCGAACTCCATTTCCCTTATACGAGCGATGCAAGAATTGGCTAGGGCTCTCGAACGATGTTGCCATGTGTTATTGATTAAACCCTGTGCCACAAGTCCCTGACCAGGGGAAATGCAAGGTGAAGGAAGTGTTTGTTGCCGTAATTGGGGGGGAATGCAGGAAGGTTCTCAATCGTTAATCGCATAGACATTCACACACATATGTACAAACGTTCATTTAATTCTGGCTTGCGGGCTTCGCGTGCACTGAATGGTAGGGGCTGATGGTGGTTAGCAGGGAACGTTTGCGTCCCGCTGGCTTTGAATCTGGTCCATTCTAAACCATCTATCGGGAGTGGTCTCCGTTGTGGGGCAAACCCCTGCGGCCCTGTGTCCTCGCCTTCTGCGCTGAGATTGCAGGCGGTGGGAGCAATGACTGCATGCGCCTCGCCCATTCTGTGGTTCAGAGTTTGCTTGCAGCGCGAGTGCCCAGCTGCCCAAGGTGATGGTGCTCAACAACAAGGACAAAGAGGTTTGCTCCGCCTGACGAGGCGCAGTTGTGTGTGTGTGTGTGTCTGTGTGTGTGTGTGTGTGTGTGTGTGTGTGTGTGTGTGTGTGTGTGTGTGTGTGTGTGTGTGTGTGTGTGTGTGTGTGTGTGTGTGTGTGTGTGTGTGTGTGTGTGTGTGTGTGTGTGTGTGTGTGTGTGTGTGTGTGTGTGTGTGTGTGTGTGTGTGTGTGTGTGTGTGTGTGTGTGTGTGTGTGTGTGTGTGTGTGGTGTGTGTGTGTGTGTGTGTGTGTGTGTGTGTGTGTGTGTGTGTGTGTGTGTGTGTGTGTGTGTGTGTGTGTGTGTGTGTGTGTGTGTGTGTGTGTGTGTGTGTGTGTGTGA